CATGCGAACGAATAGAATATTTTATTTTCTTGTTCTCATACTTCTCATACTTGGCAAAAACTCTGGAAGAGAAGGTAACAGCAGTCGTTGTAGTGAAAAACTGTAAAAACGACAACTGTTACCAAGACCTAAATTTCTATGAAAAAAATTAGATTTCGTGTAGCATTGTGTTGTTCTCGTTACATTCACGCCATCAATGGACCAAATATATAACGCAATACAATAATTAGCCTAAATAAGTTTATATTTTGATCCATAAATGATGGACGACCAAAAAGAAAATTGCAATAAAAATACAGTTTTTGGGTGCCTTAAAGCTCTATTTAAAATCTCGTTTAATTTGAAGATTTCTGCGACATCTCTTGAATTGATAACAATCTGCTTCACAATTATGTAGAGCGTATAACAAAATACTGACACTAATTACGTAAGACCCACTTCTTTTAAAATACCCTATTTTTTGACACACCTCTTGCAAACATAATAATGTGCCTACCTACCATCTAAAATCGTTCATTTACAACATGGCTAGAATATGAAATGAAAACGACTTTCTTAATTGCTGTCCCTACGGTAGTGTATAAAATAGTCTAAGCACTACAATGCATACAATACTCTTTAATGTCATACACTCCATAGCACAGAATGAAATGAAAATGAAATATTCAAAAGTACTCGTACTAGCGTGTCAATTGAATTGATTGTCAGTGCAAAAGCATTAATTTTTAATTTCAAGAATTTCTCCCGAGGCAATTAGACAATTACTTTTCAAATTGCTCTACAAACAGGGACACGCACTTTAAATTGAGTGTGTCATTGTGAAGCACAGCAGGGTTGGGGACTACAATATGCTAATTGTTCTCAAACATCATTTAACGACAACAAAATGTGTGGTGGCAAAAATCTAGAGGTATTATTCAGTGTACGTTATATCGTAGCTTAGTCGCAAAACTCTTTATGGATAGCAAAATTATTGTTCACCATCAAAATGCTTCGATTATCTGATTCGATATAATATACTAAAACTGACAATATTTTAATTTTAATATTATTTTTTTTATTTCATTTGATTTCATTCAGATGGGATTTATAAAAAAATTGGAGAATCCACAACACAGTCTTATTTAGTACGCATTCATTGCAGTTTAAAGGTCATATGTTGCTTTATTCTCATGTTAATAAACATGAGTATAATTATGGTGTCAATGTTTTGCCAGTATGACATGTCACTTCGTTTTTATACCCTACACCACAAGGTGGTCAGGGTATTATGTCTTTGTGCATTTGTTTGTAACAGGCAGAAGGAAACGAGATGGACCCATAGTTCCATTTGATGATCTGCATAGAATCACATTCTGAGTCGATTTATGCATGTCCGTCCGTCCGTCTGTCCGTCCGTCCGTCTGTCCGTCTGTCCGTCTGTCCGTCTGTCCGTCCGTCTGTCCGTCCGTCCGTCTGTCCGTCCGTCCGTCTGTCCGTCCGTCCGTCTGTCCATGTATTTTTGTAAACAAAGTACAGGTCGCATTTATTGCCCGATCCAGATGAAATTTTGCACAGATCATTTGTTTGGCCCAAGGACGAACCCCATTGAAATTGGAAATAATCGGTCAAAATTTAGATATAGCTCCCATATATATCTTCGTCCGATTTGCCTTTTATTGTGCACCAAACGTGTAATATCAGCCCGAATTGTATGGAATTTTGCATATACACCCAAATTAGGTCTGAAAATATGTATGCCAAATTTGATTGAAATCGGTTCAGATATAGCTATAGCTCCCATATATATTGTTCATCCGATTTGTTATTTTTGTCCACCGCCGCCGTAATATGCACTCTGCAATAACAATATATGGGGAAATATATCAAATGCAGCTCAGAAATGCACTTGCTAAATTTAATGGGGATCGGTTCAGATTTGGATATAGTTCCCATATATAACTTCGTCCGATTTACCTTTTATTGTGCACCAAATGTCTAATATTTGTCCAAATGGAATGGAATTTGGTACTTAAGACCGAGTCGGGTCTAGAAGGTAGTATGTCAAATTTGGTAAAGATCGGTTCAGATGTAGCTATAGCTCCCATATATATTGTTCATCCGATTTGTCATATTTGTTACCCACAGCCATTGTATGCACTCCGTAACAACGATATTCTGGGAAATATATCAAATACAGCTCAGAAATATCTTTGCCAAATTTTATCGAGATCGGTTCAGATTTGGATGTAGCTCCAATATATATCTTTATCCGATTTTAAATTAATTGTGCACCAAATGGGCAATGCAATTCCGAATTTAAAAGATACAAATGCTTCGGCATATTTAGTCCTTTGAACTTTAAATTATAATTATAATCATAGCGTGTATGTTTGAATTCTCCCATAAAAACTTTTATTTGTTATGTGGAGCTCTACTAAATTAGCAAAGTGGTGTAGGGTATCATAAAGTCGGCCCCGCCCGACTTTAAGGCTTTCTTTACTGGTTTTATTTTCTGTTG